TTACATAGTGATGCAGTGTGTGGGAGAGAAACTCCCTCTGGAGGGAACACAGGGATTTTATCCTTTGCAGACCATTTACATGCACACAAACCTATAGAACACACTACAGGAAAGGGAAAACCTCATCAATCATTGTAATCCTCCACTTATATTTAACTAAAGAAGGATTTTTAAATGTAACTAATTTATTGTGCAGAGCTACTGACAACAATTGGATTACAGCCTTTACAAATCAGGAATAGTTGTATATTTATATTAGAACAAGTATGGGATTTAGACTGATGGTCAAACTAAATTCACTATTGAATTCACTTTGGGCTGACAATTTTATGATTGCAAATCATTTGCATTTGAGTTTGTCCTCAGTTTAAGATTATATATTTCGTTTTTCACAGAGACGCTGATTCGATAATCATTGCTGTCTGAATAAGAGAGTGATGCAGGATTTGTTTTGGTTGTTAATAATTCTAACTATAGTAATTCTCAATTTGATGAATATATTTCATAGACCCTCTGGGGCAGTTTAAACATTTTGCTTCTATCCAATAGCGTGCGGAAAGTGCACAGCAGCAGCTGCTTCATCTCCAGGTCAAAGGTCACTGAGTGTCCTCCTGTGTATGATCCCATACTACTGCAGTGGGACATTTAAAGACATTCTCCTAAGCTCGACAGACACAATTAAATAAAGCAACTGCAGGTCTCTGTGGTGCATCTGTGCAGCATCAGGGGAATGAGTCTGCTAATGAAGACCCCCCCCCCCCAACTCAATTGCTTCCTGATCGGAGCTAGGCACTTAATGTAATTGGCTGGTTTCAGGTTTCACTATGTGTATGTCTCAGTGTCTTTTAATTAGCATAGACCTATTAAACATACAGGTAGATAAAAACTGTTCAACTTTAAACTGAACACAGAATATATAGGATACACACATTATTGTGATGCACTGTTGGAGAAGCCTGTGACATAAGATTTTCAACGACATAATTACTCTGTAGCTATGTTAGTTTGACAATAAAGAACCTTGAACCTTGAACCTTGAACCTTGTCCGTAAAAACGATTTTCATCAGATAGATTTAGTTTGTTGTTGATTTGTTGTTTTGCAATGATCAATAAAAACAACAACTCCAAAGATCCCACACTTCTTCATGAAGTCATCAACATCAGCCTTTATTCTTTTTTCTTCCAACTCCTTTTGGCTAACATTAAATCCTATGCCTGTAACTAGTTGACTGCATGTATGACATTAGGTAAGATGCTTACTGTAACTGGGTTTCAGTACTGATACTTGTTTTTCCCCTGATCTTGTATATTATGTCAAATTAAGTAATTAAATGCATGCATGAATAAACAATGACTATAGTGCTGTAATTAATAAGCTATTGAAGAAGTAGAACACTAATCGTGTGTGTTACCTAGGGGAGAGGTGTTATGGCCTTGGTGACATCACATGTTGTGACTTTAGAGAAGTATATTGTGTTATAAGTACCACCCTGCACTGGACAGTAATTATAAACTGACAAGGAAGTAAGAGGTTGCTTAGCAACTGAACACACAGGTAGGTAATAAAACATATTTGATTTTATTGTACAATAACAGACCTCTGAGTGTTGTTTTAACCGATAATCAGATACACTTTCTGTTCTAGTTATATTAGTGTATGTTAAATACCCCCAATATAACTGAGGTGGAAAAATAATATAATTTGAAAAACAAAAGGTCGATTGACTTCCCCTCCCGTTCTGTTCATATTCCCAGCTTTGCTTTAGATGGAAATCATTTAAAAGTGGCATATTTTTAGTTTAGAGTAATAATATAACTAGACTAGAGAATGCAATTCCTGAAGAAATTGCTAGTGGGAATGCTTTATGCTGAAAAGCTGACGCTGAATTGCTATGCTGAAATATAATGTGTAAGAAGAAAGTGAAGAATTTAGATTGAAATGATACATGAACACTGGGGGCTTGAATGTGTGATAAGAGAAGAAAAGAAAGTAAAAAGGCTTGGAAAAGCAGCAGAATATTTGAACTGCAAACTATTGAACTAACTTGATGGCGAATGATCTGTCGCCATGGCAACGGTATTTGATGACACCCCATAATACGCTTAGATATGTTGATGGCTGCATCGTTACCAAACCTGTTTAGTTTTGGGCTGAACACCATGTTTCATGGCGAGCATTGTGTTGCCATGGCAACGGCATTTGAAGAAATCTCAAAACTGTCCCGTAGATGTCTTCACGGCTGGACTGTTAGCACACATGTGAAGTTTTAGCACTTTTTGAAAATGTTCATAGGAATTATAGCAATATCATGTTTTATTGCAAGGGATGCGTTGCCATGGCAACAGCTTTTGAGGAAAACTCACTAATGGCACATAGACATGTTGAGGGCTGGAGCATTAAATGTCATCTGAAGTCTGGTGCTGTTTTAGACCATTTGCATATAGGTATCATGACAACATCGTGTTTTATGGCAAGGGATGTGTTTCCATGGCAACAGCCTATGGTGAGATCTCAGATTTGGCGTAGAGCTGTTGAGGCATGGACCGGTGATATACAAGCGAAGTTTGGGGGACGATCGGACCGTGTCCATTGGAGTTACAGCGACATCGTGTTTTATGGCGAGGGATGCGTTTCCATGGAAACGGTATATGATGACACCCCATAATTGACGTAGAGCTGTTGAGGGCAGGACCATTAACCATTATCTGAAGTCTGCTGCTCTGAGCATGTCATTTGGAGTTATGACATCATCGTGTTCCATGACACAGGTGTTTATATTTGAGCTAAGACGTGTCCAGAGATCAAAGGTTTCCATGGTGATGTGCAGTAATCAGTGAGAGGAGAGCATTTTCATTGTTCTGAATGAGAGATAAACCTCTTACATGTGAACGTTTTGTTGAAGAACCGTAACAGATATCGGTGAAATTTCAAAGCATCTGAAGTGTACTTTTTGTGTACTTTCGGGTTAATAATGTGGCCTTTTTGGCAGATTAACTAAAGGTGTGCGGCTGCTGTGGTGGGGAAAGATGAGGCTGAACTTACAATGGGGTTTTATGGAGACATGTTGAACGTTTTTGTCACTTCATGCCCTCAAGAGGCATTTTGTATAATTATTTTGCTTAATATTTTTTTTAATTTTTCAAGCTACGAGATGTTTTCCTACGTTTCTCATGAAAAATGATGTCTCAGGAATGTAGGGTTCGGGAATTATGGCAGGTTTAAAAGAAAATATGAAGGCAAAATTAAATCTGTCCTCCACTCTAGCTGTGACATCACACACTCTAAATCTGAAGAAGGCCTCTTTACCAAGGTCTGAACAATGTTTAATATCTCTAAAAGTAAGAATCAGATTTAAAGGTTGTGTTACACGAATAATGTCAGAAAGATGTGTAACATTTTAAAGTTGGAATGAGGTTTCTGAGTGAAAGTATGAAGGAGCAGTTAGCAGTTGAAGTTGCATGAAGATTGTTCAAGTCTGAAGAGTTTCTCCATTGACTTCCATGTTAAAAATGGGATGTGTTATGGGATGTATCTCTGGAATTATGAAAGTTATGAATGATAAAAGTAATAGCCATTGAGTTTCTGCGATGTTGAATGTGGGAGAAGAAGAGGTGCAAAAAATAACCCGGCGGAATAATAAAGAATTTCGTGCGTAGCATAACAGATAGTTGGAATGCTGTATCAGCATTCCCACTAAATAAGCTCTTCTCTGTCCCTGTCCAGTACATTTTTCTTCATAAATCACAAATCAGTTTGACATTATATGTTTTATCAGGTCATTCCCACGCTGTATGGTTCATATCTTAATTCAAATGTAAATAATGTAACCTGTTTTTCCATCATGCAAGAAAAATTAAGGTCGAAATGTAAAAGCAATTTAAATAAAGTTTGTAAATGAAAACAGCATTTTACATTTAATTGAATTCCTTACTCTATATACTATAGTATATTTAGCCTCTCAAAGCTCATTGTTTTGGTTTTACAGCCCATAACTGTCTCAACAATCTCATCATCTTAATTTCCATCCATAGACAGATATTCTTTAGTTAAAATTCTCATATAAACCTACTTTACTCTCACAACCAAGTGACCGTCTATCTAGGGGTGTAGCGTTTAGCTGCTTAAAGCACCCGTCTGCAACACATTTTGTTACTGCTATTGTAATAGAGCGGTGCAGTGATGATGTATTGTTGAAGTACTGAAAGTTAGCATCGCTAGGGCTCCCTCGACAAAAAGCCAATAGGATTTTTCGATTGGATTTTGGAATATTGCTGAAATCAGATCTTTGGCAAACACAACTTTAAGATACTTACACATTTTGTTCAGCAGGATAATTCCCACATAATAACCCCTAATTTCAGGCATCTAACAAAAAACACGTCAAAAAAAATCGGACTTCAAGGCGAGGGAACCGGACGTGGTAAAATGCTAACTAATTTCTGGGTTTCAAAGTTCATTGCTGCACCACTATTTAAATGTGAACATGTTCATTTATTTGACTGCATGTTGAATCAGGGCTTTAAATGATAGTATGCTGAAGGCAGGAACACCGTTGTTTGGCCTGTCTGCTCTCCAGTTCTCACCAAACCCGGCCTCCACTTGTTGTAACAGAAAGTGTATGGAGACAGAGAGTTCTCAGACCAAAGGGCTGCCCATGAACTGCTTCACTGGAATGTGGTAATGAATGTAAATGGAGCAGAGGCTGTAGTATCTTCAGCCACAGCAGATTTGGCATGCCAGTGCTCACCATTTCCACTGAATGACAAGGAAGCTGCTGTCAGGGGACTGTATTCATCTCACTGAGGGGCTCCTGCTCTCACGACTGGGTTTGCCCTCTGCTGAGAGGACTAAGAAATGATTAATATATTCACACAAATCTGTCAGTGTCTCTGATGAGGTTAATCACACACTTGCTGCATTTCGAAATCTGACTGCAAACTCAACACATTTGGCTGTTTGGTTTCTCTCATCAAAACATTTTCTTTGCTTCCCTCTCCAGGTTCATGCTGGCCAGTGGCCAGTGGCCACACAGCGGGGTCCTGATTCATGCTCCCGGAGATCTCTTCCCACACAGGTCAGTAGACTTGCTTCCATTTGAGTCAACAGTTGTCACCAGCCTCCTCATCCTTTTCTGTAATCGAGGGAAGGATCAGGTGACAAACATTGCTTCACAAGGCGATCCATTATTTACCAGCCCCAGTCCCCAACAAGTGTTTCATATCTCCTGACAGTCTAATAACTTCCAGTGAGGTGCTGCTGCCCTCTGGTGACAAACACAGGGTTTACAGTGCTGTTGCAAAGGACCACCAGCAGGCTTTAAATGTTGATATCACTGCTCAGAGCTCAGCTGCTCAACCAACACAGTCTCACTCCCTGATAGTCCAATAGCGACGCTTGGTCAGGGTCCTTTGGCGTGCAGTTGTGACGCACCGAGTCTCCTTCAGCTTCATAGACGGACGCAAAGAGCTTTCAACTGATTGCAATGTATTCCCATCGGCGGCGGTATTTGGCGCTCAGGGAAGCACCGCATCGGTCCATGTCAGCGGCAGTTAAAGGTAATGTGAGCGTCCATTCCCATTGGATAACAGAGGATTTTACACCCGGAAGTAAGTATTCTCCTTACTGTCGATTGATATTACAGTGATATCTGCATTACTCATCAACTCAAAAACACCAGATTATCCTTGTTAATTACACAACATTGATTGGTTTAAATTGTGTGCAATGCTTTTGTGTTTTTCCCCTTGGATTCGGAGAAACAAATATTTTTTCTGAGTTTAGGATGGCAGAATACACTACACTACCCATAATAAACAAGGCAAGGCAAGGCAAGGCAAGGCAAGGCAAGGCAAGGCAAGGCAAGGCAAGGCAAGGCAAGGCAAGGCAAGGCAAGGCAAGGCAAGGCAAGGCAAGGCAAGGCAAGGCAAGGCAAGGCAAGGCAAGGCAAGGCAAGGCAAGGCAAGGCAAGGCAAGGCAAGGCAAGGCAAGGCAATTCAAAGTGCTTTACAAAGCATACATCGTATAAGAGTATAATAAATATGTATAATATCGGTTAAAATAAGTGCTTCAACATAGTTAACATTGCAGGAAAGTTGATTGTCAAGTCCCAAAACAAACCATGCAATATATTAAACGTTAAGTACTTTGTCAGGCTTAATATAGACATGTATTTAAAAGAAGACCTTAACCTAAAATATTATTTAATGTTTAAATAAAGCCTAATTAGTTTGTCTGTTTTGCACATCCTCCTATTAATATCTTTGTACATCCGGCACTAAACTGTTTTATTCTAGATACCATTTACAGTATCTTCTTGATATTTTCTATTCTATATTTCTATCATTGACCTTCTACTTTCCTCCTATTTTGTATATACTCTTAATATTTAAATGTTTTCATAAAATATAACACATTCAAAAGTGCTTTACAAAAATGAAAGACATTAAGAAAAAGGCATTTTAAACAGTCATTAAAAGAGAAGGGTCTAGCTGCGGCCGCGGCCAGTACACGACACTACACGACACGCCCACTACAAGACACGCCCACCTGACACGACACTACGGTGGCTGAGAGACATTACCATACATGGCAGATTAAAAGCGAATTGACGACACTGACGCTGATGCAAGGATATTTAAAGAGACATGAGGTTCAGAGAACAGACAAACAATATGGCGCACCGAGTACAGGTAATTAACGTATTGTGGTTTTAGATATAATTACATACTATTTAGGTTCTCGTTTGTTTGTCGATGTGGCTGTTTAGCGCAGTGTAATTGTGTTTATTTAGCTAATTTGTATTTTAAATATTAAATGTAAAGGAATGGAATACATATAAATATATATATATCTTAGCTCTTAGCTTGACATGCTCGACGTTCAGTTAGCATATATGCTAACTGAACATGCTCGTTCAGTTAGCATGTCAAGCTAAGAGCTAAGATATATGTATATATTTTAGCTTGACAGATGGAACAATGCATGTACTCGCATTTTTACAAGAATCTGATTTTAAATATTCATTGAAGGTGTCTTTCACATTTGAATGTTTTAAAAAAAAAACATGTATTAGCTGCTATACTGACATGCACATATGTATAATTATATTATTATTTTAAGTGTGGTTTAAAGTTAAATGATATATAGTTATTGGGTAGAGCCAAGTAACCCAGGTGGATGCAATCAGGCCTCTGTTTTTAGATGGGGTTTGTGGCCATGCTGTAGGCCTGACATTTAAACCATAGACCGTATATATAAAGATTTAAACTAGCTGAAGGGCTTTCTGTTCGAACCACAGTGACATCTAGAGGTTGTTTTGTGCATAACATGTCAACCAAAAAGGTAGAGCTGGCTGAATCAGATGGAGTTAAACTTTTTTTTTTTTTCAACAAGATATCAAGACACAAAATGTGCTCTACCAAATGGTGGCGCTGGCAGTTAAAGGGTTACCTTCTGAAAGTGAGGAAGTATGACCAGCTTTGTCCCATAGGATTATACAGGCCAGTCCATTGCTGCTTATTTAAGGAGTTAACTATTTCCAATATTAAAGTCACTGAAATTGTATTCTATTTTATTCACCTATAGACAAACAACACAACACTCCGTGATGGAGCACGCCCAGAGCTCAACAAATTGGACTCGGACACCTTCCAGTGTCCATTTTGTGAAAGGACCGGGTCATACCCTGGTCTGATGGCTCATTTGCAGAGCCACCAGAGGGCACTTGTGAAATATGGAGGTAAGTACATCTATAATTCTATATGATCATTGTATACTTCATCACATTACATTACATGTTACTTGTTAGATGTGTTTAATGCCTCACACATTATGGATACATGTGTTATTTCTGTGCCCCAGGACATCCTTGGTGTAAATTCATTTTGAATTATAAATTGAACATTAAAAATTAGATTTATATTCAGGTTATGAAGTGTTAATAATGCTGGAAAAATATCCTTATTTGGGGTAGGCACAATATGAGCATAATCACACATTCAATCTGCAAAAAATCAGTTTATAGGCAAAAATATTATTGTTGGTGACATGATTATTTATTGCTCTCGCACAAACACCTTGTTTCAAATTGCATATTTACAAGAAATTCATGTTGGTTTGTTTCTAGAATCCTCTAAACCACTTTCTGTCTCTTTTTTTTAGGTTATAATGTTTATAAATGCCATCTCAAATGTGTGGCCAGCAGCCATTATCACTGTGGCTTTTGCCCAAGAATCATTGGGAGAAAGGAGATGTTTATTAGTCACTTTAAAAACTGCTGCACTGAACATCCAACTACGTTGGCGGCGGCCCCAGCAACCACAACGACTCCTCCAGTGATGGCCCCGACGGCCGCTCCAGTGATGGCCCCGACGGCCGCTCCAGTGATGGCCCCGACGGCCGCTCCAGTGATGGCCCAGACGGCCGCTCCAGTGATGGCTCCGACGGCCGCTCCAGTGATGGCTCCGGCTGCTGCAGCAACATGGCACAATATTTCCACAGCCCCCAACATTTTGATGTCAAAGCGCAAAACCACAACATGTTGTTTTTGTAGCCTACAACTAAAAAGGAACATTTTTCACATGATGTTCTGTTCAATAAATGTTCATTGAGGAAAACGGTATCAGTGTCTTATTGTATATTCATCACAGTGAATGCAGTGCATGCTGAACTTGCCGGACCATATACTGTAGTTGAAAGTACACAATGAAACACTGGCTTGCTTGTATCAAATCAATACAATTCCCACATGCCCTACCCCGGAACCTGCGGTCTTCAGACTCTGGCCCCCCGCACCAACCTGCGATCCTTCGGGGACAGAGCCTTCAGTATGGCAGCCCCCACTCTCTGGAACGCTCTCCCTGCGGAGATCTGCAACATCCCCACGCTTGACGCCTTCAAAAGGGCCCTCAAGTCTGCCAAGGTCTTTGGCCCCAAATCTATTTGTGTTGTCTGTCTAACTGTTCGTCTAACTGCCTTTTGTTATGTTTGTTTCTACTCCTGTTCTTTTTAAAGCGACCTTGGGTCTCATGAAAGGCGCTATATAAATCCAAGTTATTATTAATACATCATTGGAACGGTAAGAATCTCAGCTACAACACTGACTAAAGCCTTCCCATCTCCAGTATGCCTACATGACAAGCATTTTTATAATATACAGTAAACATATCTTTGACTTATTAGAGAAGAGACAATCATCAAGCCAGATACCAAGGTATTTACAACAGGCAACCACTTCAATTACTTTTCCTTTATGTTATTGTTATTTGGTTTTTATTAGTGCTTTTGTCGTTTTGAAGGAAATTAAAATACTGTATTGAGTTGGTTTCTTCTGTTTTGGAAGCCTTGTATATCTTTTTGGTCTTGTTAGAAATACCCTATGGTAAAACAGTGTTCTAGCAGCAGTTAAAGAAGCTTAGTTTGCTGTCTTAGACTGCCAGATGTATTAAGATGGTTTGTTCACAATTTACACATAAAACCTAAATGTTCATCTGTTTATTGTTCTTCTTCCTTTATATTCAAAGCATGTTGATTGTCTATTGGCTATATCTTGACATTATGTTAATTTGATCATACTTGCCATACATTTATTTTAATTGATGCGATTCCTTCAAAGGTTTTGTAATAGACCCCTAGTACTTTTAATTTATAAAGTAATAATAATACATGTGAATGATTGAGCTCATTAGTGGCCTGACTGGCCCTCCTAATTTGTTCCTTAATGACCCCATGATGTGATAATGTATATCTTAAAACCTTTAACAACTATATTTAGATGTTCACAAATATCTACATTTATGTATAAAATACATGTGTAGCAGTTAGACAAACATAATCAATAGATCATCTCATTAATACCTATTTTATATATTAAAAAAAAGTTGACTAAACCACCGTTTGTTGACAAAATGATTTGGGTTGAAAGTTATACTGTTGTGTCTCAAACGGATAGACTAGGTTATTAATTGATTTGCCTAATAGTTGCTTAAAATGCTACAATAACATTTGCAATTCGTTTTTAATCTGCCATGTACGATCTCAATAATAATAAGTGTCGTCAATTCGCTTTTAATCTGC